TTTCCCCCGGGTTTTTTTAATATTTTTAATAGAGGGGGTTGGGTAAGAGAAGTAAATGCGGAGCTTGGCAAAGGCGTGGGATTAAAAAGATAAAAAATCACACATAAAGTGGGAGTTGTCAACAGTTGCTTTTTCCCTGATGACACTGTGCTCTTGGGAGATTCGAAGAAAAGTTGCGAGTTTGGTGGATGTTTTTGGGTGGGGTGTGGGAAAAAAGAAAAAAAATTAAAAGTGAATACGGGAAAGAGAAAGGTTTGAGGATAACAAAAAGAAAAAGGGCGATAAAAGATTGGATATCAATTGGAGGGAGAGAGTGGGAGGGGGGTGAATGTATTCGTTATTTGGGAGTGGATTTGTAAAGGGGTTGGGTCTATAAAAAGATGAGGGAAATAAAATTTAAGGGGGAAAAGGGGGGATTGGTGCATTTAAAGGGTCGGTGGGGAGAAAAGAACTTTGTTTTGGACCCAAAGAGGGGAATGTAGGGAAGATATTTTTCCCAAACGCTCTTATAGGGGTTTGGAAGCATGGGTGATGAAGTTGCAGGGGGGGGAAAAAGGTGGGGGCCCAGGGGAGATGTAAAGTCTGAAGAATGTTTGGTGTGAATTAAAATTGCAGAAAATTTCGTAGTTTGAAGTTAGGAGGAGGGGGGGGGGGATTTTTAAAAATTTTTGGTCCAGGGGGTGGGGAAAAGGGTTTTGGGGTGGGTTCGGACATGTAGTAAGAATGGACCCCTAAACAGAAATGATTCAAGGGGTTTTTCGTCGGGAGGGGAAAGGGAAGGCGGGTTTAAAGGTCGGCCTGGGAAAAGGTTGGAGGGGGGGGGGTAAAGGGGGTTTTGTGTGCGGGGGCTTGGACTTCAAGCAGGCATCCCCGGGGAGTGTTTTTGATAGGGGGGAATGGGACAAATGGTTTTTAATACTTTTAAATGCTGTTTGGGGTGGAGCCCAAAATAACATTTTGGGAAAGGGGGTTTAGGGGAAACCGGGAGGGGGACTTGAGTCCTGGGGATGGGGAAATACAGTGGCCTGCCTCGGAAGGGGGGGTTGGGTTTAAAGTTGCCCGTTTAAAAACTGTGTTTTAAAGCACCCTTATTGGGAAGACAATTTATGGAGGAAAAGATGGTGAAAGTTTTTCTTTTTTCGGGGCCCCCTGCCTTTGGGGGGAATCGGCCAGTGTTTAATAAAAAAAAAAAATTTTTTCACAACGTGACTTTTGGAAAATTTTCTAGTTCTCCAAGTAATCAGTTTTAAAGGAGCCAGCAAAAAAAAATTTTTGGGGTAAGATCCCCACAACCCTTTTTGGGCAAAAAACACAAAGGGTCCTAACTACCAAATTCATATCTTCAACCCGATTGGGGGATTATTTAAAATGTTGAGATTTTAATTTACTTTCCCCAGGGGCCCGGCTAAATTTTTGGGTGATGATGGGGGGAAAATTCTCTCCCCAAAAACAGTCGTCAATTTAACAATAATTCCCCTATCAGTTGGTAAATGAAGGAGGAAGAGAGCTTGAATGATCTACAAACCAAATCCTTTCCCTCGATACTTCAACTCTTGAAAATACCCCCCCTTTACTAGACCTATTACATTACTAGAGATAGTCAGGTTATTGGAAGAATGCGAAAAAAAGAAACCCCCGGTCTCTTTTGGAATAACAATGAAACAAATAAAGTTCCTACCCCAAAAGTTTAAAAAAGTCTTTTTGGGTTTAAAAACTTTTAAAGCCATTTGGCCTCAGGACATTTTTCCCGTGGTTTTTTTAAAACTGCTAGGATGATCTTTCTGGCTAAGCCCCAAAAAAAACAACCACCAAAACCCGGGAAACTATTGGGCCCTTTTTATCTTTATTGAAATTTACTGGAAAAGTTTTTTTTAGAAAAATCATTTCCAAAAAGACGAACTACTCTATGGATTTTTTTCACCTTTTTACTGAAAAACAATTTTGGGTTTTGAACACATAGAGGTTCCCAAAAATGCAATAAAGGTTATTTTCGATATTGTACAATCTAAACATTTAGGGCAATCTTGCCCCAAAGCCCCCAGAATTTTTCATAAAGCTTTTTATAGCTTTTGGCTTATGGTCTTTTATACAAAATATTGAAACCCCCAACCAAATTTGGGCTTTTCTCAGTTAATATATAAATTTTTTAACCAAAGAAAAATTTATTCCCACCTTTCAAGGCAGGGGGCGGGCAGAGCCTTTTTAAAACCGACAGCTGGTGTCCCACAAGGTTCTTGTCTTAGTCCAATTCTGTTTTAACATTTAATTTTGGGAAAGACCTTCCCCACCAGAGTTTAAAGTACAAATTTTGAAGGGAGCTTTAGATTATGGTTTTTTCATTCGTCTCACAAAATCCGGAAAAAGGAAAAAACCCCCCCCCCCCCCCCCCCCCCCCCCCAAGATGAGGGGGTCATTGAAAAAAAAATACTGAACTTTTGCGAAATTTTAATTTGGGGAAAAAAAATGGGAAAAATTAGACTAATCCTGCAAAGTCCTTGGTTTGCACGTTTGGATGTTTTGCTTAACAATCGAAGAAAAAGGGGGTTTTTCTCCATCAGAGGTTTCCCTGTAGCCATTTAAAAACCCCAAAAGATTTGGGAATGAAATTGACAGGCTGCTCCCCTCAAAAATCTCATTTTAACTAAAAAAAACAACCCTGCCAAACCGGGCTTAGGGATCCTTTCGATTCAATCAAGCCCCTCCACATGTCCAAAAAAAAAATGTATAAAATGATTAATAAGACCAAAACCAAAAACCCTTGTTTCCCAATGACCAAAAACAACAAAAACCAAAATGCTAAAAGTTTTCAACCCGGGGCCAAAAGAGCTCTTTGCTTCCCTTACGGGGAACCCGGAGGAGAGACCAAAAGTTAAAAGACAGATTTTCATGTATAACAAGATATTAAAGCCTTAAAAGTACGCCTTGACACCCTGAAAAGAAACAAAACCCCCTTTAATTTCAAGAAAATATACATGCCAGATAAAAACATCCTATACAAAATTTTAAAAAACCAAGGGTTTATTTATCAATACTTTCCCCCTCACAGGACTCAAAAAAATTGGGTCTCCCACAGAAGGGGCCCTCGTTTTATTTCCCTGAAGAGGGTTTCCCTTGACCCGATACTGAGCAACCTCCCTTTAAAAAAAAAAGAAGATTGGGTAACACCGAACCCCTTTTTGGGTTTAAAGAGAAAATCACCCCCCTTAGGGGGGACCTCTTATATTTAAAAATTAATGGGAAAAAATTTTTGCTTATTTACTATGGGAGGACACTACCCGTAAGAAAAAACCCTTGGGCAAAATTGGAATTCTATAAACTGGCCAGGAATTTTTTGCCTTTATTTCGCTTAAAAATACGTTTTGCAATCGCGCAAAAAAAAAAAAAAAAAAAAAAAAAAAAAAAAAAAAAAAAAAAATTTTTCAACTTGTATAATTCTAAACCCAAATTTAGAGCCATGTACTTATTTTTTCTGTTAAAATCTATGTGACTATGGGTTTATATTTTACCCATTCAAGAATATCTTATCATTTCACATACACTTTTTAAATTACACCAAAGTGGTTGGGCCACTTACCTTTTATATCCTACCTCTCTCCCCCCTCCTACCCTTTTCCAATATTTCTATCCTTACCCATCTTACCAAAGCTCTTCCTTACCCATCTTACCAAAGCTCTGGTCATAAGAAGAAGAAGAAGAAGTTCCATTTGTGGGCGCAGAAAGAATTTCCCCAGCTCAAGCTGCTGCCTTGTTGTGAGTCAGCAGGGAAAACCTCCCGCCATCCCCTTGCCACCCCCGACACACCCGCCATCCCCATCCCAGCCTTCGTGAGTATGTGTCCAGTACGAATGCTCCCTAGGAGCTAGTTGTGTTTGTGAATTGCGTTTTGATCTTTTAATTGCCATATCTTGTATCTCTGTCAGCAGATGGGTCTATGAGGATGAGGTGAATCAAAGAACTGATGAGAGGAAAAGGGAAAGTGGTGCACTTAGGAGTCTGTGGAGACAAAGAAAGCAAAGAGAGGAATGTATGAGAGTATAGTTGTACCAACACTCTTGTATGGGTGTGAAGCATGGGTGATGAATGTTGCAATGAGGAGGAGGCTGGAGGAAGTGGAGATGTCATGTCTGAGGGCAATGTGTGGTGTGAATATAATGGAGAGAATTCGTAGTTTGGAAATTAGGAGAAGGTGTGGGATTACCAAAACTATTATCCAGAGGGCTGAGGGGGGGTTGTTGAGGTGGTTCGAACATGTAGAGAGACTGGAACATAACAGAATGACTTCGAGTGTATAAATCTGTAGTGGAGGGAAGGCGGGGTAGGGGTCGGCCTAGGAAGGGTTGGAGGGAGGGGGTAAAGGACGTTCTGCATGCGAGGGGCTTGGACTTCTAGCAAGCATGCGTGACTGTATTTGATAGGAGTGAATGGAGACAAATGGTTTTTAGTACTTGACATGCTGTTGGAGTGTGAGCAAAGTAACATTTATGAAGGGATTCAGGGAAACTGGTAGGCCGGACTTCATTACAGCCTGTGGCTGTAATGAAGCATTAGTTTGTACAATTAAAAAGAATGAGGTAAATATATGAATTTGTGTGATAATTGACTGACTTGACTGACTGACTTACTTTACTGACTGACTTACTGACCTTACTTATTTACTGATTTTACTGACTTAAAGTTAGACTTTTTCACTGAAGAGGACCCTGACATTGGTCTGAAACGGTGTCTAGAGCAGCTGATGCTTTACCGTCAGCTGTAGGGTAAAACAGAACAGAAATCCATTACAGAATTTATGCACACTCAAGTACCACCATCGACTTCACCACCAGAACCTCTACCATCCACCTCAGCCCAGTAGGGCCACAGAATAACTCTCAACTCTCTTCACAATCATAGACAAACACCAGCACCCACAATTTAAGGTAAGAACTATTATTATTTCTGTTGCATTTGTAGTCTTAAGCAGTAAAAACAACATAATACATCATGACAATGAACAACAATTACATATTCACTTTTATTTTTGTAAGATCTGGAGGTCTAAAAAAAAGTAGTTTGCCTTTTTTGGGGCTCCTAGGAATGTAACCTTATTTTTTCCAATAAGTTCTTCAGTTTAACATGGATTTGATTTACCTAACACATCATTTTCCGGAACGTAACTACCGTGAAATATAACGGTCTACTGTAATTTTTAAATATAAAACAGGATTTATGATTACTTTTTCCAAACATTTCAAAATTTCAGAAATCTAATGAGATGCCCTAACTATTTGGGCTTTAGGTTTGCAAACACTTTATTGCATCTTAGTTGCATTACTAAATCATATATAAAATCTCTGATATAACTGTCTTTCTCAGATTTTTTACTATCAAATATGGCAACAAAGGTTATTCTAGGCTCAACTCTGCATAAGAAGTATGTTGATCCAATCTGTAAATACAAAAAATAATTTTTTTAGTATTTTGAGTAGTCTCCTTATGGACTTTGTTAAAATATTAATTTGCATATTACTCCAATAATGTTCCATTTCCCGTGTGTGTGTACATATTTGTATAAATAAATTGATTTGATGAATCTTTCTGTTTCATGCAAACATCCAAATATGATTGTGATCTGTACGACTGTTTTATGCAAGCATTCAATAATACAACAAATGTAATTATGATATACTAACTTGCTGATCAAAGAAATGAACAACATGATCCAACAGAGCATGTTCATTGCTGCGATCTGACACTCTCATGACAATGCTTGGCCACCTCTCCAGAGGTCTGGTCTGTAAAATACATCACAGATTATTTATCTGTAAATGAATAATATATTGCATCCAAATTGTAATTTCAGCTGAATTTATTTATTTATTTATTTATTAATTTTAGCATACATACAGAGGTACAAAAAAGTACAGGTAAGAGCAGCATGCCAAAGCCACTTATATGCATAGCATTACGGGCAGGCTTAAAATTAACTTAAGATTAACTAAGCAATGATGAAATCAGTGATAAAACATTATTGTAAACAGATAACTATAAAGCACAAATGAGTATTACAAAGACAGGTCATATGGTTGCATGCTTTGCTGTACATTCAGTCGAATGGAGTATTCTGTTAGGTAGTGTATTTAAAAAAATAACAAAGTTAGAATGGGTCCTAGGTTTAACATTTGTGTGATATAATTGTGAGTAACATTTAGGATAAACAATTTATAAGGTTCAGTTATTCAGTATTTATTTGGTTTTGAGTGAGTAAGTGATCTTTGAGAAGAGACTTGAATTTATAAACAGGTAGTGTTTCTTTTATATTTACAGGTAATGAAGTCCAGATTTTAGGGCCTTTTATGTGCATTGAGTTTTTGCATAGCGTGAGATGGACACGAGGAACATCAAAGAGTGATCTGTGCCTTGTGTTATGGTCATGTGTTCTGTTGAGGTTGGCAAGGAGATGTTTGAGGGGAGGGTTAATATCAGAGTTAAGTGTTCTATGTATATAATAGGTGCAATAATAAGTATGGATGTTTTGTATGGTGAGTAGGTTGAGTGTTTTGAATATTGGTGGAGTGTGCTGCCTGTAGTGAGAATTTGTTATCATTCTAACTGCAGCCTTTTGTTGGGTAATTAGTGGTCTGAGATGGTTAATTGTTGTTGAGCCCCATGCACAAATTCCATAGGTGAGATAGGGGTAAATAAGAGTGTGATAAAGGGCCAGGAGGGCTGACTGTGGAACATAGTACCGTATCTTCGATAGTATGCCTACAGTCTTGGAAATTTTCTTAGAAATTTGTTGTATATGTGTATGAAATTTGAGTCTATTGTCAAGGTGGATTCCTAAGAATTTTCCCTCTGTTAGCTTTGTGATAGGTGATCTGTTTATCGTTATGTTAAGAGGTACATCTGTAGCTCTGTTTCCAAACTGAATGAAGTAGGTTTTGTCAATGTTTAGTGTAAGTTTGTTAGTCCTCATCCAGGTAGATATTTTCTGTAATTCGGTATTTACAGTATTGGCTAGCGTGACTGGGCTCGGGTGAGAGAAGACGTATGTAGTGTCATCTGCAAAAAGTGTGGGTTTGAGTAATTGCGAAGCATTTGGTAGGTCATTTATGTATAGGAGAAAGAGAAGAGGGCCAAGGACACTTCCCTGTGGGACACCAACTGTAATTGGTTGAGCGGAAGATCTTGCCCCATTTGCGTACACATATTGGCTTCTGTTGCTGAGGTATGACTTGAGGTAGTTGAGGGAGTGCCCTCTAATACCATAGTGTGACAATTTTACGTGGAGCAAGTCATGGTCAACTGCATCAAAAGCTTTACGTAAGTCAATGAAGATCCTCAGTGGGACTTCTTTTTTTTCTCTATTGCAGTGTATATATGTTCTAGCATGTGTATAATAGCATCATTAGTATTTTTATTAGGCCTGAATCCAAATTGGCAGGGGTTGAGAAATGTTTTGGAGATGAGGTAGGAGTAGATTCGTTTATGAATTAATTTTTCGAAGATTTTTGAGAGAGGGTGTAAATTGGATATTGGCCTATAGTTATTCAACTCTGTTTGGTCTCCTCCTTTATGGATCGGGGTGACCCTTGCTATTTTGAGAGCTGTAGGGAAGGTGGAGGATTCAATGGATTTGTTAAAGAGTGTTGCAATGATTGGTGATAGTACTTGTGACACTTTTTTTGTATATAAAGGGTGGTAAGGTATTTAAATCTCCTGCCTTGTTTTTTAGTGCGTTGATAATAAGGGAGACTTCGTATGGGTTAGTCGGAGCTAGGAAACAGTGTGTTCGGGGAGTTGCCAGTGAGGTAGTCATTTGGTGGGGTATCTGAGCTTGGGATTTTATTGGCAAGGTTTTGTCCTATAGTGGAGAAGAAATCATTGAGTCTGTTTGCTGTTTCTGTTGGTGGGAGTTGGGGTTCATCTGATTTTGCTAATTTTATTTCGCTATTTCGTGATATCTTTTTTTGTTCCCAGAATTTCTGATAGGGTCTTCCAGGTCTTTTTTATATCACCTCGTAAGTTGGATAATCTGTTCTCATAATACAATTTTTTTGCCCTTCTTATCAGGCTGGTTAGGATTGACGAGTAACGTTTTGTTTGGTCTCTGGTTATGTGACCCAGTCTGTACTGTTTTTCATATCGGTGTTTTGTATTTATGGATTTGAGAATGCTGGGTGTTAGCCAGGGACTGTTCAGTCTCTTAGCTGTCATCTGTTTAGATTTTTAGGGCAGTGCTTGTTATAGAGGTATTGGGTCTTTTTTAGAAAATTATTAAAACATTCGTCAATATCTGTATATATTTCTAGCAGGCATGCGTGAGCGTGTTTGATAGGAGTGAATGGAGACAAATGGTTTTTAATACTTGACGTGCTGTTGGAGTGTGAGCAAAGTAACATTTATGAAGGGGTTCAGGGAAACCGGCAGGCCGGACTTGAGTCCTGGAGATGGGAAGTACAGTGCCTGCACTCTGAAGGAGGGGTGTAAATGTTGCAGTTTAAAAACTGTAGTGTAAAGCACCCTTCTGGCAAGACAGTGATGGAGTGAATGATGGTGAAAGTTTTTCTTTTTCGGGCCACCCTGCCTTGGTGGGAATCGGCCAGTGTGATAATAAAAAAAATAAAATATTTCTAGCTCAGTGTGCCAGTCAATGTTTGTTACTGCTGTTGTGAAGTTATTAATGGCTGCCTCATTGTGAAGTCTGAAGGTGACTTTAGTAGTGTCTTGGGGTATTTTACCAAGAGTTGTTATGAGGAAAGTAGGGTAGTGGTCTGTGGTATTATCTGTAATTATGCCTGATTTTAAAGGGGATATGGTGTTGGTCCAGATGTGGTCAAGTAGGGAAACACTAGTCTCCGTAACTCTTGTAGGTTTTGTTACTGTTGGTAGCAACATGCAGTTACTCATTGTGTTTGTGAATTCAGTAATGTGTGGGTCCTGGTCTTGCAGGAGATTTATATTGAAGTCACCTGAGAGTAGTAAGTGATCTTTGTTCAGTTATCATACTTCCTAGGTTTTGACTAAATTGGCTAATGTTTGATTGTGGAACTCTGTAGATGTTTATCACTGTGAGAGGTTTTTGTAGGTATTTGGATTTGAATTTAGCTATTATATATTCCCCATGTTCATTCCTTGTGCAAGTATTAGTGATACATTCTAGTTGGTCTGAGTAATATATAGCTGTGCCACCCCCTTGTTGGTCTGGCCTACAGTTGTGTATGGCTGTGTAACCAGGAATGGCGTAGACATCTGTAGTATCAGGCTTTAGCCAGGTTTCAGTTAGTGTAATGATGGACATATTGGCATGCAAGGAATTTAGTAATGCTAGGAGGTCATCGTAATGCTTGCTTAAAGATCTGATATTGTAGTTAAAGATAGTTATGTTGTTGAATCATTCTACAGTGCATCAAAGTAATACAAACTATGTTAGCATAGTATCACATCTGTTTCATCACAGACAAAAGTGTTAGAAGAATGCAATGGTTTACAAAAGATGTAGCATGTGCTACAATAACTGCAACCTATGTAATGAAGAAAAGACACCTCTAACCTAGCCCTGCTCCTGTAGCTGCAAAAAAATATACTAATTATCATGTCAAACCTGTGTTTTATTTTTATGGATTGGGAAGATACCAGTCAAGAAATAACAATAATAAAGTAATAATAAAAACAATAAAACAATAATAATAATAATAATAATAATAATAAATAAAAACAATAATAAATAAAAATAATAAATAAAAACAATAATAATAACAATAAATAAAAATAATAATAATAACAATAATCCTAGGTAGTAGGCTGGTAGACAGCAACCATCCAGGAGGTACTACCATCCTGCCAAGTGAGTGTAAAATGGAAGCCTGTAATTGTTTTACATGATGGTAAGATTGCTGGTGTCTTTTTTCAGTCTCATAAACATGAAAGATTTCAGGTACATCTTGCTACTTCTACTTACACTTAGGTCACACTACACATACATGTACAAGCACATATATACACACCCCTCTGGGTTTTCTTCTATTTTCTTTCTAGTTCTTATTCTTGTTTATTTCCTCTTATCTCCATGGGAAAGTGGAGCAGAATTCTTCCTCCATAAGCCATGCGTGTTGTAAGAGGCAACTAAAATACCGGGAGCAAGGGGCTAGTAACCCCTTCTCCTGTATAAATTACTAAATTTAAAAAGAGAAACTTTTGTTTTTCTTTTTGGGCCACCCTGCCTTGGTGGGATCTGGGCGGTTTGTTGGAAAATAAAAAAAAAAAAATATATATATATGTTGAAAGAAAGAAACATATACAGCAGGGCCCTGCTTTACGGCGTTTCGCTTTATGGCGTTCCGCTAATACGGTCATTTCAAATTATGACCAAAACTCGATATACGGCTCCCCCCACCTGACTTTCTAATACGGTCAACGCGCCCCACCCGGTTTGTTTACATTCACTGTGAGATCCGTAAGCCCTAAGTCTCTCCATTTTGTCTGGAAACTCCAAAATTTTAAGTGTTTTTAAAAGTTATTTCATATTTTATACAGTGGACCACCGCATAGCGACCTTAATCCGTGCAAGAGGGCTGGCTGTTATGCGAAATGTTCGGTATGTGAATGAATTTTCCCCATAAGAAATAATGGAAATAAAATTAATCCGTGCAAGACACCCAAAAGTATGAAAAAATTTTTTTTTTACCACAAAAAAATGTTAATTTTAGTACACACAAACTGAAAAAGGCATGCACAATTACATGACACTTACTTTTATTGAAGATCTGGTGATGATTGATGGGATGGGAGG